ACGTTTCTCTCTAACGCCTCTCTCTAACGTCTCTCTCTAACTTCTCTCTCTAACATCTCTCTCTAACATCTCTCTCTGACATGTCTCTCTAACGTCTCTCTCTAACACCTCTCTCTAACATCTCTCTCTAACATCTCTCTCTGACATCTCTCTCTAACATCTCTCTCTAACATCTCTCTCTAACACATCTCTCTAACGTCTCTCTCTAACGTCTCTCTCTAACGTCTCTCTCTAACATCTCTCTCTAACACCTCTCTAACACCTCTCTCTAACGTCTCTCTCTAACGTCTCTCTCTAACATCTTTCTCTAATGTCTCTCTCTAACATCTCTCTCTGACATCTCTAACATCTCTCTCTGACATCTCTCTCTAACACCTCTCTCTAACGTCTCTCTCTAACGTCTCTCTCTAACACCTCTCTCTAACATCTCTCTCTAACTCTCTCTCTCTAACATCTCTCTCTAACATCTCTCTCTAACGTCTCTCTCTAACGTCTCTCTCTAACATCTCTCTCTGACATCTCTCTCTAACATCTCTCTCTAACTTACATCTCTCTCTAACATCTCTCTCTAACGTCTCTCTCTAACATCTCTCTCTAACATCTCTCTCTAACGTCTCTCTCTGACATCTCTCTCTGACGTCTCTCTCTGACGCCTCTCTCTGACGTCTCTCTCTGACGTCTCTCTCTGAAGGTCTCTCTCTGACGTCTCTCTCTAACACCTCTCTCTAACATCTCTCTCTAACACCTCTCTCTAACACCTCTCTCTAACGTCTCTCTCTGACATCTCTCTCTAACGTCTCTCTCTGACGCCTCTCTCTGACGTCTCTCTCTGACGTCTCTCTCTGACGTCTCTCTCTAACATCTCTCTCTAACACCTCTCTCTAACGTCTCTCTCTGACATCTCTCTCTAACGTCTCTCTCTAACATCTCTCTCTAACACCTCTCTCTAACACCTCTCTCTAACGTCTCTCTCTGACGTCTCTCTCTAACATCTCTCTCTAACATCTCTCTCTAACATCTCTCTCTAACCTCTCTCTCTAACATCTCTCTCTAACATCTCTCTCTAACATCTCTCTCTAACGTCTCTCTCTAACGTCTCTCTCTAACGCCTCTCTCTAACGTCTCTCTCTAACGTCTCTCTCTAACATCTCTCTCTAACGTCTCTCTCTAACGTCTCTCTCTAACGCCTCTCTCTAACGCCTCTCTCTCTCTCTAACTCTCTCTCTAACTCTCTCTCTAACTCTCTCTCTAACATCTTCTCTAACATCTCTCTCTAACATCTCTCTCTAACATCTCTCTCTAACATCTCTCTCTAACATCTCTCTCTAACATCTCTCTCTAACATCTCTCTCTAACATCTCTCTCTAACATCTCTCTCTAACATCTCTCTCTAACATCTCTCTCTAACATCTCTCTCTAACATCTCTCTCTAACATCTCTCTCTAACATCTCTCTACTCTCTCTCTAACATCTCTCTCTAACATCTCTCTCTAACTCTCTCTCTAACGTCTCTCTCTAACGTCTCTCTCTAACGTCTCTCTCTAACGTCTCTCTCTAACGTCTCTCTCTTAATTTCTCTTACATCTCTCTCTAACATCTCTCTCTAACATCTCTCTCTAACATCTCTCTCTAACTCTCTCTCTCTCTCTAACACTCTCTCTCTAACGTCTCTCTCTAACATCTCTCTCTAATGTCTTCTCTCTAACATCTCTCTCTGACATCTCTCTCTAACACCTCTCTCTAACGTCTCTCTCTAACACCTCTCTCTAACATGTCTCTCTAACATCTCTCTCTAACGTCTCCCTCTAACATCTCTCTCTAACGTCTCTCTCTAACACCTCTCTCTAACATCTCTCTCTAACATCTCTCTCTAACATCTCTCTCTAACATCTCTCTCTAACGTCTCTCTCTGACGTCTCTCTCTGACACTCTCTCTGACGTCTCTCTCTGACGTCTCTCTCTCTGACGTCTCTCTCTGACGTCTCTCTCTGACGTCTCTCTCTGACGTCTCTCTCTACTCGTCTCTCTCTACGTCTCTCTCTACATCTCTCTCTAACATCTCTCTCTACATCTCTCTCTAACACCTCTCTCTAACACCTCTCTCTCTAACATCTCCTCTAACGCCTCTCTCTAACGTCTCTCTCTGAACTCTCTCTGACTCTCTCTCTACTCTCTCTCTAACACTCTCTCTAACATCTCTCTCTAACATCTCTCTCTAACTCTCTCTCTACATCTCTCTAACACCTCTCTCTCTAACACCTCTCTCTAACGTCTCTCTCTGACATCTCTCTCTAACATCTCTCTCTAACATCTCTCTCTAACATCTCTCTCTAAATCTCTCTCTAACATCTCTCTCTAACATCTCTCTCTAACATCTCTCTCTAACATCTCTCTCTAACGTCTCTCTCTGTCATCTCTCTCTGACATCTCTCTCTAACATCTCTCTCTAACGTCTCTCTCTAACATCTCTCTCTAACATCTCTCTCTGACGTCTCTCTCTAACTCTCTCTCTAACTCTCTCTCTAACATCTCTCTCTAACATCTCTCTCTAACTCTCTCTCTAACATCTCTCTCTAACGTCTCTCTCTAACGTCTCTCTCTAACGTCTCTCTCTAACATCTCTCTCTAACATCTCTCTCTAACATCTCTCTCTAACACCTCTCTAACACCTCTCTCTAACGTCTCTCTCTTACGTCTCTCTCTAACATCTCTCTCTGACATCTCTCTCTAACATCTCTCTCTAACGTCTCTCTCTAACATCTCTCTCTAACACCTCTCTCTAACATCTCTCTCTAACATCTCTCTCTGACATCTCTCTCTAACATCTCTCTAACATCTCTCTCTAACACCTCTCTCTAACGTCTCTCTCTAACGTCTCTCTCTAACGTCTCTCTCTGACATCTCTCTTTAACATCTCTCTCTAACATCTCTCTCTAACACCTCTCTAACACCTCTCTCTAACGTCTCTCTCTTACGTCTCTCTCTAACATCTCTCTCTGACATCTCTCTCTAACATCTCTCTCTGACATCTCTCTCTAACACCTCTCTCTAACGTCTCTCTCTAACGTCTCTCTCTAACACCGCTCTCTAACGTCTCTCTCTAACGTCTCTCTCTAACACCTCTCTCTAACATCTCTCTCTAACGTCTCTCTCTAACGTCTCTCTCTAACGTCTCTCTCTGACATCTCTCTCTGACATCTCTCTCTAACTTCTCTCTCTAACGTCTCTCTCTGACGTCTCTCTCTGACGTCTCTCTCTGACGCCTCTCTCTGACGTCTCTCTCTGACGTCTCTCTCTGACGTCTCTCTCTGACGTCTCTCTCTAACACCTCTCTCTAACGTCTCTCTCTAACGTCTCTCTCTAACGTCTCTCTCTAACGTCTCTCTCTGACATCTCTCTCTGACATCTCTCTCTAACTTCTCTCTCTGACGTCTCTCTCTGACGTCTCTCTCTGACGTCTCTCTCTGACGCCTTTCTCTGACGTCTCTCTCTGACGTCTCTCTCTGACGTCTCTCTCTGACGTCTCTCTCTAACACCTCTCTCTAACATCTCTCTCTAACATCTCTCTCTAACACCTCTCTCTAACGTCTCTCTCTGACGTCTCTCTCTGACGTCTCTCTCTGACGTCTCTCTCTGACGTCTCTCTCTGACGTCTCTCTGTGTTTGTAACAGTATTTGAATGAAACATTTTAAGATGAAATGATTTTGTTCTAAACCTGCAGGAGTTTGGAAAAACAATGGTTTCACAGCGACAGAGTTTTGGGCAAACTGTGGTGAGTTGTGTGTTTTCAGCGGGGCCTGTGTGTGTTGTGTGTTTTCAGCGGGGCCTGTGTGTGTTGTGTGTTTTCAGCGGGGCCTGTGTGTGTTGTGTGTTTTCAGCGGGGCCTGTGTGTGTTGTGTGTTTTCAGCGGGGCCTGTGTGTGTTGTGTGTTTTCAGCGGGGCCTGTGTGTGTTGTGTGTTTTCAGCGGGGCCTGTGTGTTTACAGAGTGTGACCCTTTTCGGTGCCAAATCTAAATCCTGTCTTTATCTCAGATTATCTTCCATGTTGGATTTAAACCCTTAACAATGACCTCATCCAGAGAACAGCAACACACACACACACACACACACACAGAGACACACTCACACACACACGCATACGCACACACACACGCACACACCCACACGCACACACACACGCACACACACACGCACACACACGCACACACACGCACACACACACACACACACGTACAGACATACAAAAACACGCACAAACACAGAGAGAGAGAGACACACACAGACTCAGACACCCCCCCCACACACACACACGCACACACGCACGCACACGCACACACACAGGTGTTTGTGTTTGATTAAAGCTGAGAATGACAATCTATTGATGTGCAGTATGTATCCAAGTAATAATAATAATAATAATAATAATAGTAATAATAATAGTAATAATAATAATAACAATAGTAATAATAGTAATAATAGTAATAATAATAATAATAATAGTAATGATAGTAATAATAATAGTAATAATAATAATAATAGTAATAATAATAATAATAGTAATAATAATAATAATAATAGTAATAATAAAAATAATAGTAATAATAGTAATAATAATAGTAATAATAATAATAATAGTAATAATAATAATAATAGTAATAATAATAATAATAGTAATAATAGTAATAATAATAATAATAATAATAGTAATAATAATAATAATAGTAATAATAGTAATAATAATAGTAATAATAATAATAATAATAACAATGCATCAGTTTTAAACAGTTCTTTGATCTGACGCTGAAAGCCTCTTTACATTATTATTCTCTCTCTCCAAACACGGTGGTGATAAACTACTGTAGCCACAGCTGCCCTGGGGCACACTGACAGAAGCGAGGCAACCAGTCTGTGCCATCGGCCCCTCCCACCACTGTTAAAGCTGCACCTGAAATATCACAGACACAGATGTAGGACTGCAGCGTTTGGAGACGGCACAGACTCAGGACGTGTCGGCCCAAGTGGATAAAAGTAGGCACCAAAGCTCGTGATACAGACGCTGCTGTAGGACTGCTGTAGGACTGCAGTAGGACTGCAGTAGGACTGCTGTAGAACTGCTGTAGGTCTGCTGTAGGACTGCTGTAGGACTGCTGTAGGTCTGCTGTAGGACTGCTGTAGGTCTGCTGTAGGTCTGCTGTAGGACTGCTGTAGGTCTGCTGTAGGACTGCTGAAGGACTGCTGTAGGACTGCTGTAGGTCTGCTGTAGGACAGCTGTATGTCTGCTGTAGGACTGCTGAAGGACTGCTGTAGGACTGCTGTAGGACTGCTGTAGGTCTGCTGTAGGACTGCTGTAGGACTGCTGTAGGTCTACTGTATGTCTGCTGTAGGTCTGCTGTATGTCTGCTGTATGTCTGCTGAATGTCTGCTGTAGGTCTGCTGTAGGTCTGCTGCTGTAGGACTGCAGTAGGACTGCTGTAGGACTGCTGTAGGTCTGCTGTAGGTCTGCTGTATGTCTGCTGTATGTCTGCTGTATGTCTGCTGTAGGACTGCTGTAGGTCTGCTGTAGGACTGCAGTAGGACTGCTGTAGGTCTGCTGCTGTAGGACTGCAGTAGGACTGCTGTAGGACTGCTGTAGGTCTGCTGTAGGTCTGCTGTATGTCTGCTGTATGTCTGCTGTATGTCTGCTGTAGGACTGCTGTAGGTCTACTGTAGGACTGCTGTATGTCTGCTGTAGGTCTGCTGTATGTCTGCTGTATGTCTGCTGTATGTCTGCTGTAGGACTGCTGTAGGTCTGCTGCTGTAGGACTGCAGTAGGACTGCTGTAGGTCTGCTGCTGTAGGACTGCAGTAGGACTGCTGTAGGACTGCTGTAGGTCTGCTGTAGGTCTGCTGTATGTCTGCTGTATGTCTGCTGTATGTCTGCTGTAGGACTGCTGTAGGACTGCTGTAGGTCTACTGTAGGACTGCTGTATGTCTGCTGTAGGTCTGCTGTATGTCTGCTGTATGTCTGCTGTATGTGTGCTGTAGGACTGCTGTAGGTCTGCTGCTGTAGGACTGCTGTAGGACTGCTGTAGGTCTGCTGCTGTAGGACTGCTGTAGGACTGCTGTAGGACTGCAGGCTTTCTGCTGTAGGACTGAATGATTGAAACCTAACCCTAACCTTTGTAAACCTACCTTGATGGATTCCAGTGTTTTGAACCTGATCTGATTTGTAGCGAGTGGGGACTTCTTGTTCCAGATCATTGATCGTCTGCGTCTGCTGTAGGTCTGCTAACCCTAACCCTTGACCACAGGTCTGCTAACCCTAACCCTTGACCACAGGTCTGCTAACCCTAACCCTTGACCACAGGTCTGCTAACCCTAACCCTTGACCACAGGTCTGCTAACCCTAACCCTTGACCACAGGTCTGCTAACCCTAACCCTTGACCGCAGGTCTGCTAACCCTAACCCTTGACCGCAGGTCTGCTAACCCTAACCCTTGACCGCAGGTCTGCTAACCCTAACCCTTGACCGCAGGTCTGCTAACCCTAACCCTTGACCACAGGTCTGCTAACCCTAACCCTTGACCACAGGTCTGCTAACCCTAACCCTTGACCACAGGTCTGCTAACCCTAACCCTTGACCACAGGTCTGCTAACCCTAACCCTTGACCGCAGGTCTGCTAACCCTAACCCTTGACCACAGGTCTGCTAACCCTAACCCTTGACCACAGGTCTGCTAACCCTAACCCTTGACCGCAGGTCTGCTAACCCTAACCCTTGACCACAGGTCTGCTAACCCTAACCCTTGACCACAGGTCTGCTAACCCTAACCCTTGACCACAGGTCTGCTAACCCTAACCCTTGACCACAGGTCTGCTAACCCTAACCCTTGACCACAGGTCTGCTAACCCTAACCCTTGACCACAGGTCTGCTAACCCTAACCCTTGAGCACAGGTCTGCTAACCCTAACCCTTGACCACAGGTCTGCTAACCCTAACCCTTGAGCGCAGGTCTGCTAACCCTAACCCTTGACCACAGGTCTGCTAACCCTAACCCTTGACCACAGGTCTGCTAACCCTAACCCTTGAGCGCAGGTCTGCTAACCCTAACCCTTGACCACAGGTCTGCTAACCCTAACCCTTGACCACAGGTCTGCTAACCCTAACCCTTGACCACAGGTCTGCTAACCCTAACCCTAACCCTTGACCACAGGTCTGCTAACCCTAACCCTTGAGCGCAGGTCTGCTAACCCTAACCCTTGACCACAGGTCTGCTAACCCTAACCCTTGACCACACCACAGGTCTGCTAACCCTAACCCTTGACCACAGGTCTGCTAACCCTAACCCTTGACCACAGGTCTGCTAACCCTAACCCTTGACCACAGGTCTGCTAACCCTAACCCTTGAGCGCAGGTCTGCTAACCCTAACCCTTGAGCGCAGGCAAGGCAAGGCAAGTTTATTTGTATAGCACAATTCATACACAAGGCAACTCAAAGTGCTGAACAAGAAAGCATTAAAATCATAAATAATCACAGAACATTAAAAAGAAAGATAAAAATATAAAATCCCTCAGTTGTAGCACAGCTAAACAGAACTGTCTTTAACCTGGTTTTAAACATTGTCAGAGAGGAGGCCTGTCTCACATCTTCAGGAAGACTGTTCCAGATTTTAGCAGCATGAATCTGAAAAGCAGCCTCCCCATGTTTAGTTCTGACTCTGGGCACTAACAGGAGTCCAGTCCCTGTGCTCCTCAGAGTCCCAGCAGGAGTCCAGTCCCTGTGCTCCTCAGAGTCCCAGCAGGAGTCCAGTCCCTGTGCTCCTCAGAGTCCCAGCAGGAGTCCAGTCCCTGTGCTCCTCAGAGTCCCAGCAGGAGTCCAGTCCCTGTGCTCCTCAGAGTCCCAGCAGGAGTCCAGTCCCTGTGCTCCTCAGAGTCCCAGCAGGAGTCCAGTCCCTGTGCTCCTCAGAGTCCCAGCAGGAGTCCAGTCCCGGTGCTCCTCAGAGTCCCAGCAGGAGTCCAGTCCCTGTGCTCCTCAGAGTCCCAGCAGGAGTCCAGTCCCTGTGCTCCTCAGAGTCCCAGCAGGAGTCCAGTCCCTGTGCTCCTCAGAGTCCCAGCAGGAGTCCAGTCCCTGTGCTCCTCAGAGTCCCAGCAGGAGTCCAGTCCCTGTGCTCCTCAGAGTCCGGGCTGGTTCATATGGGACTAACATGTCACTAATATATTTTGGTGCGAGGCCATGGAGAGACTTGTAACAAGCAGAGCTGTTTTAAAGTCTATTCTCTGAGCCACAGGAAGCCAGTGCAGAGACCTGAGGACTGGACTAATGTGGTCGTACTTCCTGGTTCTAGTCAGGACTAATGTGGTCGTACTTCCTGGTTCTAGTCAGGACTAATGTGGTCGTACTTCCTGGTTCTAGTCAGGACTAATGTGGTCGTACTTCCTGGTTCTAGTCAGGACTAATGTGGTCGTACTTCCTGGTTCTAGTCAGGACTAATGTGGTCGTACTTCCTGGTTCTAGTCAGGACTAATGTGATCGTACTTCCTGGTTCTAGTCAGGACTAATGTGATCGTACTTCCTGGTTCTAGTCAGGACTAATGTGGTCGTACTTCCTGGTTCTAGTCAGGACTAATGTGGTCGTACTTCCTGGTTCTAGTCAGGACTAATATGGTCGTACTTCCTGGTTCTAGTCAGGACTAATGTGGTTGTACTTCCTGGTTCTAGTCAGGACTAATGTGGTCGTACTTCCTGGTTCTAGTCAGGACTTATGTGGTCGTACTTCCTGGTTCTAGTCAGGACTAATGTGGTCGTACTTCCTGGTTCTAGTCAGGACTAATATGGTCGTACTTCCTGGTTCTAGTCAGGACTAATGTGGTCGTACTTCCTGGTTCTAGTCAGGACTAATGTGGTCGTACTTCCTGGTTCTAGTCAGGACTAATGTGGTCGTACTTCCTGGTTCTAGTCAGGACTAATGTGATCGTACTTCCTGGTTCTAGTCAGGACTAATGTGATCGTACTTCCTGGTTCTAGTCAGGACTAATGTGGTCGTACTTCCTGGTTCTAGTCAGGACTAATGTGGTCGTACTTCCTGGTTCTAGTCAGGACTAATGTGGTCGTACTTCCTGGTTCTAGTCAGGACTAATGTGATCGTACTTCCTGGTTCTAGTCAGGACTAATGTGGTCGTACTTCCTGGTTCTAGTCAGGACTAATGTGGTCGTACTTCCTGGTTCTAGTCAGGACTAATGTGGTCGTACTTCTTGGTTCTAGTCAGGACTAATGTGATCGTACTTCCTGGTGGTTCTAGTCAGGACTAATGTGATCGTACTTCCTGGTTCTAGTCAGGACTAATGTGGTCGTACTTCCTGGTTCTAGTCAGGACTAATGTGGTCGTACTTCCTGGTTCTAGTCAGGACTAATGTGGTCGTACTTCCTGGTTCTAGTCAGGACTAATATGGTCGTACTTCCTGGTTCTAGTCAGGACTAATGTGATCGTACTTCCTGGTTCTAGTCAGGACTAATGTGGTAGTACTTCCTGGTTCTAGTCAGGACTAATGTGGTCGTACTTCCTGGTTCTAGTCAGGACTAATGTGGTCGTACTTCCTGGTTCTAGTCAGGACTAATGTGGTCGTACTTCCTGGTTCTAGTCAGGACTAATGTGATCGTACTTCCTGGTTCTAGTCAGGACTAATGTGATCGTACTTCCTGGTTCTAGTCAGGACTAATGTGATCGTACTTCCTGGTTCTAGTCAGGACTAATGCGGTCGTACTTCCTGGTTCTAGTCAGGACTAATGCGGTCGTACTTCCTGGTTCTAGTCAGGACTAATGTGGTCGTACTTCCTGGTTCTAGTCAGGACTAATATGGTCGTACTTCCTGGTTCTAGTCAGGACTAATGTGATCGTACTTCCTGGTTCTAGTCAGGACTAATGTGATTGTACTTCCTGGTTCTAGTCAGGACTAATGTGATCGTACTTCCTGGTTCTAGTCAGGACTAATGTGGTCGTACTTCCTGGTTCTAGTCAGGACTAATGTGATCGTACTTCCTGGTTCTAGTCAGGACTAATGTGATCGTACTTCCTGGTTCTAGTCAGGACTAATGCGGTCGTACTTCCTGGTTCTAGTCAGGACTACTGGGTCGTACTTCCTGGTTCTAGTCAGGACTAATGTGGTCGTACTTCCTGGTTCTAGTCAGGACTAATATGGTCGTACTTCCTGGTTCTAGTCAGGACTAATGTGGTCGTACTTCCTGGTTCTAGTCAGGACTAATGTGGTCGTACTTCCTGGTTCTAGTCAGGACTAATGTGGTCGTACTTCCTGGTTCTAGTCAGGACTAATATGGTCGTACTTCCTGGTTCTAGTCAGGACTAATATGGTCGTACTTCCTGGTTCTAGTCAGGACTAATATGGTCGTACTTCCTGGTTCTAGTCAGGACTAATGTGGTCGTACTTCCTGGTTCTAGTCAGGACTAATATGGTCGTACTTCCTGGTTCTAGTCAGGACTAATGTGGTCGTACTTCCTGGTTCTAGTCAGGACTAATGTGGTCGTACTTCCTGGTTCTAGTCAGGACTAATGTGGTCGTACTTCCTGGTTCTAGTCAGGACTAATGTGGTCGTACTTCCTGGTGGTTCTAGTCAGGACTAATGTGATCGTACTTCCTGGTTCTAGTCAGGACTAATGTGGTCGTACTTCCTGGTTCTAGTCAGGACTAATGTGGTCGTACTTCCTGGTTCTAGTCAGGACTAATGTGGTCGTACTTCCTGGTTCTAGTCAGGACTAATATGGTCGTACTTCCTGGTTCTAGTCAGGACTAATGTGATCGTACTTCCTGGTTCTAGTCAGGACTAATATGGTCGTACTTCCTGGTTCTAGTCAGGACTAATATGGTCGTACTTCCTGGTTCTAGTCAGGACTAATGTGGTCGTACTTCCTGGTTCTAGTCAGGACTCGAGCTGCTGCATTTTGAATGTACTGCAGCTGTTTTACAGCCTGTTTGGACAGACCTGTGAGCAGGCCATTGCAGTAGTCTAACCTACTGGAGACAAATGCATGGATAAGAATCTCCAAGTCTGCTTTAGACACTATGTTTTTGATCCTGGCAATGTTTTTTAGATGGTAAAAAGCTGCTGATGTTACTGATTTGATGTGGCTATTAAAATTTAAGTCTGAGTCCAGTATTACCCCTAGATTTCTGACTTTGAAGGTTTTTTTATGTTTATTTTTATTTCAGACACTCACTAGACATGTACACGCAGGACACACAACAC